TTGTATTTTCAGTAGAGACAGGGTTTTACCATCTTGGCCAGGCTGGTCTTGAACTTCTGAGCCCCGGTGATCCACCCACCTCGGTTTCCCAAAGTGCCGGGATTACAGGCATGAGCCACTTCACCCAGCCTCTTTCTTATTTTTTTATTTTTAAAGAAAGGCAAGGTATCAGAGAAATGCTCCATTCCGTCTCCTTGTCTGCCAAGCGGCAAGACTCCCAGACCTCACCTGTGGTCTTGGGCTCCTCATCAAATGGGCTGTACCCTCTCCCTACACTCACCCTCACGGATTGAGGCAAGGGCTGCACTTGGGAGCAAATTGCAAGGTTGGCTCGGGGTCAGTGGGCAGTGCTAGCTGGGCAGGTAAGGCAGCAGACCGGAGCCAAGTGAGGCAGACGGTATTGATTTCATTCCCACACTGTACCCAAGGAGTGTGAGATCCAATGTAAGATGGAGTTCAAATCTAGATCTCCTGATTCTATGATTCCAACCCAGGGCTCTTTCAACCACACCCCAATCACCTGTCCAAGTGCTGGCGCGTGCACTCTATGCTTTTAGCTATTGCTGGAAGGAAAGCATACGAGAACGAACTGCCACTTTTGTATTTTCACAGGCCACATCCAACAGGCCAGGAGGGAGGATGCAAGCCACTAATTCATCATTTTAAAGAACAGAGGGGCTGAGATGCAACCCGGGCTCTCTCCCCACCACCCACTCAGTCCTCTTTTTGCCTGAAAGAGCTTTCTGGCCATAACAGATTGTGGCCCCAGTTGTGTTGCCCCTCAGCCTGGGGACAGCACGGCCAGATCTCACTGGAGGATATTTCTAACCCTGCTGCATTTTCATGGTCTCCTGCAGGAAGCAGCTGCATGGTGGTGGGGCTGGCTCCAGAGAAGTCAGCGCACAGCAGGCCGAGGGAGCGAGTGCGGGACTGGGTTCCTGTCTCTGGGGGAGAGGGGAAGATGGCAGGCAAGGACCCTGGCACCTGCAGAACCACCCAGCGTCTTCCCATCCATTCCATGGTTGGCAAACACGGAGTGCACAGCACCCCCCATGTGGCCCTCAGCCTGAGAATGCTGCCCCTCCTAGGGCTTAGGCAGCCATTCCCCATTGCTCAGGCGTGGCAAACTGAACAAAACCAGCCCCCCACTCTGGTCAGTCTAAAATCCTAAGTGTCTTTTAGGATGAACGTGATCCCTGATATTAATTTGCCTTATTCTCTTTATTGGCTCAACTAATCCTCTAGGTCTTTCTACCCGACTCATGCACGCCAACTACGCAACTATCAATAAACTTAAACTTAAAAAAGCCTCCTCAAACCCAACTTTTTCTGTGGCTCCCACAGGGTGCAAGGCTCTCTCAATCCTCCAAGCAGCCCTGGTCCTCTGGGCCTCTCACTGGGCCCTGACAAGCTAGAGTGCTGTCAGGTATCTCCGTGGTTCATTTACCTTACATCCGCTGTGTGTCCCCCAAACCACCGTGTAATAAACTTTTGTCCCCTACATTGGTAAGCCCTGTCAGGCACCGTGCTGGTCTCCAGCATCCAAAGATCAATACAGCAATGCCCATGGGAGAGAAAAACAAAACCCAGGGAAATCAGGTAAGCACTCAAGGAGATTGTCAAAAATGTGATCAGCTATAGGGAGGAAGCCATGGCTCTGCCTAGGGAGGAGGGGGAAGGGCTTCTGGGAGGAAGTGCCATTTGCATTGGGCTTTGAAGGGTGAATAACTGCTTGCCCAGATGGTGGGACCAACCCAATCACGCCTGGAGGCAGAGGAGATCCTGGATGCCTGGGGGCCTGGGAGGATGCTGGCTTGGCTGGAGGGGATGGAGACCGAGAGGGGTGGGTGGCCAGGTTAGAGACAGGAGTCTTGGAGTTCGTGCTAAGAAATTTAGACTTTATCCTGGAGACAGGAGTCAGGAAGTGATACAATGAGACTTGTGTGTTAGGGTCATCCCTCTGCAAGCTGAGCCAGGAGGAGGGACAGTGAGAGACGGGGGAAGGGTCTGAGGTAGAGGTAGAGCCAATGCAATCTGAAATAGCTGGTCACTTTCCCACCTGGCTCCTGTGCTTAGGGGACCTCCACCCTAAGTCTCTTCATGCAGAATTCCCTCCCAGTTCTAGTCACCCCCAAACCGCCATGCATCCTTTCTGGATCTGGGTGGGAGGCTCCTCCTGTTGAACACCTGAATCCCTTTCCTGGCCCCATCTTTTGTGATTGAGGTCACATACTCTCACAGTGCTGTTACAGGGGACTCTGTCTCCTGCATTAGACACTGAAGGCAGGATTTTCCTTCTTTATCCTCCTGGCAGTGCTGAATGCATCACTTTCCATGGGATTGGATGTGTAAGCAGGTGAGTTCATTGAGAGGCTGAAGAGGCTGAGCCCAGGCCCTTCTCCTCCCTGGCTGTCTTGCTCTGGGTGCCCTGCGTGCATTGTATCCAGCAGGGCATGGCCAATGTGGTTTTGGTCTCAGCTCCTGGATCCCCAGTGCTGCAGCAGGGAGCAGCACTTACTAACGTGGCATCTGTAGGAGGAACCTCCCCATCAGGCCAGGCCCATGCACCCCTTCCCTCATCACTCCACTGGCCCTTCGTTAGCTGCTGGGCCAGATGAATTGGGAATACAAGTGGCAGATAAGAATGTGACCAGCTGCTCAAGCTCAGAAGAGTGCATGTTCCCTTATCCTATTTATGCACCCACTTCAAACCACAGAAACCAAAGATTAGTGCCCAACAGGCAAAAGTCCTTTACAAATCAAGACGAGTCAAACACGAGGCTTCCTCTGTTTCTCCCAAGTTGCTGCAGAAGAACCAGCGTTCACTAAGTTCATGCTAGATGTTAGCTACCAAAGCTATTTTTTTTTAACTTTTGAATGCCTATGTTAGTGGTTATTCCTTTTTTGTTTTTCGAGTTTTATTTTGGATTCGGGGATACATGTGTAAGTTTGTTACATAGGTATATTGCATGATGCTGAAGCTTGGGATAATTATCTTCCAAACCCCAAGCAGCCATGTCAGCTAGAGACTCTTGGGAGTCACAGTGAAGAAGGACTGGATTTCAAGCCCTCCCCACCCCTCTCAAAGGTTTCCATCATTCCCCACGACCTCTATTATTTCCAGCACTGTGAGGTTCCCCTGGCTGCAGTAATCAGCCATTAATACACTACTCTCAGTACCGGGGCGATGGGGTCATGAAGGCTGACTCCAGCCTTAAGTTTTTTTTTTTTTTGAGACAGAGTCTCGCTCTGGCACCCAGGCTGGGGTGCAGTGGAGCAATCTCGGCTCACTGCAGCCTCGACCTTCTGGGTTCAACTGATTCTCCTGCCTCAGCCTCCAGAGTAGCTGGGTCTACAGGTGCGTGCCACCACGCCTGGCTAATTTTTGTATTTTCAGTAGAGACTGGGTTTCACCATGTTGACCAGGATGGTCTTGATATCCTGACATCGTGATCTGCCAGCTTTGGTCTCCCAAAGTGCTGGGATTACAGGTGTGAGCCACTGCACCCGGCCTGCAGCCCTGATTTTTAAAGGACTTTTTGTTTGTTTCTGTCTTCCTTTATTGGCTTTTTCCTTTTTGATTTTTAGTTTTTTAAATTTTATTTTACTTTAAGTTCTGGGATATAGGAACTTATGTTCCTGGTGCACAATGTTCCCTTCCCCATGTCTATGTGTTCTCATTGTTCAACTCCCACTTATGAGTGAGAACATGTACTGTTTGGTTTTCTCTTCCTCTGTTAGTTTGCTGAGAATGATGGCTTCCAGCCTCATCCATGTCCCTGCAAAGGATATGAACTCATTACTTTTTATGGCTGCATTGTACTCCATGGTATATATGTTCTACATTTTCTTCATCCAGTCTATCATTGATGGGCATTTGGGTTGGTTACGTGTCTTGTCTATTGTAAATAGTGCTGCAGTAAACATATGTGTGCATGTGTCTTTACAGAAGAATGATTTATATTCCTCTGGGTATATACCTAGTAATGGGATTGCTGGGTCAAGTGGTAGTTTTGGTTCTGAAATCAGATTGAGGAATCGCCACACTGTTTTCCACAATGGTTGAACTAATTTACAATCCCACCAGTGGTGTAAAAGAGTTAGTTTCTCCACCGCCTCACCAGCATCTATTGCTTCCTGACTTTTTAATAATCGCCATTCTGACTGGCGTGAGATGGAATCTCACTGTGGTTTTGATTTGCATTTTTCTGATGATCAGTGATGGTGAGCTTTTTCCATTTTTAAAGGATTTTTGCCTGTTAGGCACTAGTCTTTGGTTTCTGTATTAGAAATGGGCATGTAAACAGCATAAAGGGAGATGGGCTCTTCTGATCCCACCGCCCAGCACGGAGCATAGCACACAACAAGGTTTTCAACCCTTGCCCTGCGACAATGACTGCTTTTGAAATCATTTCTGCTGCTACTCTGCTGGACCCTCAAAGGTGACCTCACTTGATCCTCAGAGCATCCCTGTGAGTTGGGCCAGGCCTGGGGGAAAGCCAGTGAGGTGCCCAGTGCAGGACTTCAGGAGGTGCTCACCCTTGGGTGTCAAACCTGCATTTGCCTGAGCCTTACAGTAGATGCCTCTTTGAATTTTTTACCGTGGGAGTCCCATGGGAAGCCCCCTCATCGCTATTTTATAGAGCAAGAAGCTGAGCTTCAGAAAAAGAACTGCCAAGTCTCCCAGGCAGGACCCTGGGTTCCCAAATCCCACGGTCACGTACCTGGTGGCTGTCCATGGGGTCACTCTCTTTGGTCTCCCTTTGTTGGTGGTCCTCATGGGGGGCCAGAGGAGCAGGTTCCGAGGCTGGTGTGGTATTCCCACCATCCCTGTTGAGATACAGCACCTGGTCGCTGGCACTGGGGAGGCACTCGCCTGGCACTGAGGAACTGCAGCTACTCTGAGAGCCATCGGCCTCCTCCTCCCTGGAGTCCAGGTCTTGCATACAACCCTCTGGACCTTCGAGATCCATTTCTTCATTTTTTAGATCATCTGGGTCTTCTGCATAAGCCTCCAAAACTGCAGCCAGGGGAACCTCATAGTGCGGGAAATAGAAGACGTCATGGGGAATGACGGAAACCTTTGAGACGGGTGGGGAGGGCTTGAAATCCAGGCCTTCTTCACTGTGGCTCCCAAGGGTCTCCAGACTGACACTGCTGCTTGTGGGGCTGGAAGATAATTCCTCACCCACACCCTGCAGGTCACCGTCTTCTCCCTCTTCCTCATCATGAGGACGGATGGACTTTCCCTTGGCCTTCTCATATACCTCTGGCTTTTTATCTGTTGGTGTCTCTTCTGGGACCGAAGGACAGCCTTCAGCTTCTTCTCCGGAGTCCTGGTGAGCTTCATGTTTGTTAGACTTAACTTGAGGCTCTGGCGAATCTTTCTCTTTGTGAGCAGATTTAGTACTCCTTTTACCAAGTTTTTCAGCATGATTCTCAAAAGCCTCATCATCCTCATCAGGTTTTGTCTCATGAGGTGAAGGAACTTTGTTGAAAGCCTGGCTGGTAGAAGCAAAATCTATTAGGTCGCTGTTAAATTTCGAGGTTTTTAATGGGATGGCTTCGAAATAGTCTTCCTCATCCAGAGGTTCTACAGTCATCAGATTAACCTTGAACTCCACGGAATTGGCCATCATGGTATTCTCTCCTGGGGGTGAAAGAGAGTGACTTTCTTCATCGTGGCTGGCTGTACTCTCTAAAGCACCATTATAGGAGGAAGAAGACTGAGAATTATTGATCGTGCCCTCCGCAAAAAAAACATCACCAGGGACCTTGTCAGAGAAGGATTCTGGAATCTTCAAGGATTCCTGTTTCCATTCCTTTTCCTCAGCAACCTCAACTGCCAAGATGTGTCCATCCTCCATCAGTGGTTCCTTTGCCACTCTCGGGCTCCCTTCAAAGTGAAGGGACAGGTCCTTACTGCAGGAAGCATCCTTGCAGCTGTCGGCCTCAAAGTGAACTGTTTTCTTGATTGGCAAAGAGTTGGACCTCTGGCTCTCCTTTCTGGATGATAAAATGGAGGTTTCTGGAGATGGCTCACTGATGTCACTGGTGTCACCTGGGCCCCCTTGCAGGACCTGGTCAATGATCTGGTGCACGAACTCAGTGGAACTGTCTGACAGTGCATGGCTAGAAATACCATCCAGGCGGAATTCCTTCATGCTCTCAGGCTTGTCACAGACAAAGACTTTGGAGGGTGGTGGGTGGCTGGTTTCATGGTTAATAGTGTAGGTGTGCTCCCCATTTTCATTCAGAACGAAGATTTTGCTCTCCTGTTCAGAAGGAGTTTCTTTGATACGAACAAAAGTGGATTCAATAGGAACTTCTTTATCTGAATAGAAAATATCTTCCTACAAAAAAAAAAAGAACAAATAAAAAACAGCAACATGAATAAGAAGAGGGTTTAAGTACAACCTATATCTACCTCTCTCAAAACACAAACAAAAATAGAAAAAGCCGCTTCAAAACTAATGCAAAGTGTTCTAATTAAGATGTAAGTGGTTAGAGAAGACTTTCATTCCTGCTGAAATAGAAAACATCAGATAAATAAAAATGTAAGATGTCATGTTTTTTAAAAGCTATGGATATAAGGAATCTCAATAAACCAAGCTCTAAAGAAGGACAATCTCTTCTAAAGTGAGCAGAGATTGTCAGCCACTTCATACTTGACCATGCTGTCTGGTCTGGGTATGGACTTGAGCTAATCCATCCGAGATAAGGCAAGGTCAGCCAAATCTTTACTGATTGTGTGGGCTGGTATGAGAGACTGGATCTGGAAGGGCTCCAAATACAAAAATAATTCTCATCATATACTAATTAGTCCACATGGGGAATTATGCTGTGTAAGAGCCAGCTGGGGGCAGGGCTAAAAAGCAGAAAATGACTTGAGGTAGTGCAGTGATTGGCTCCCAATGCACTGATAGAGTGAATTGACTGCAGCCTCAAATCATTTAAAACGAAAGAGAAGAAATTAAATAAAACTTCAACGTAGCTCCTATCAACTCTGATATGATCCAAATGACAGCTCCTCATCTTAGGCACTTGTTTGGGAAAGGGCTATATTTCCTGAGGGGGAAAAAAAATGACATCTACTCCAACCTTTATTGTTCTTTTATATACCAAGTTTGACATAAAATAATTACAAGACATGAAGAGGCAGGAAAACGAAATCCATAATCAAGAGAAAAAATAATCATTAGAAATAGACCCATGTATGATTCCAAGTTAGAATTTGCAAGCAAAGACTCTAGAATAACTAATCTATGTTATAAGAAATACAAAGTAACAGTCCTTCAGGCTCAAAGAACACAATCTCAGACATAAAGCCTAAAAGAAGGAATGAACAGTACTTGAAATGGTGAATATATGGTCAATATAAAAAACTACTTCAAAGTTTTCTTAAAAAGCCGACTAGCTGATTAAAGCAAAAAAATAATAACAAGGTATTGAGGATTAAAACATATGTAGACGCAAAGTAAATGACAACATAGTAGCAAAAGAAATGGAGATGAGGTGAGTAAAATTGTATATCTGATATATGTAAAATATGCATTGATTTTAATCCATAATGAATTTTAATATATCAAGGTAGTATGTTAATTTAAGGTAAGCTGATATATGTTAAAGATGAGTATTATCACTAGAACAGCTACAAAAAAGGTAAAACAAGGTGATGTGGTTAAAAAACCAATAAAGAAGATAAATGCACACCAAAAAAATTCTTGAATAATCCAAAAAAAGTTAAGAAGGAAGAACCATGGAGCATACAACAGATCAGACCAATGGAAAACTATAACCAAGATGGCAGATTAAACCTATATAAACATATGAAAAACACACTGATTAAATGACAGAGCTTGCCAGAATGAATACAAAACAAGACCCAACTGTATACTGTTTACAAGAGACATACTTTAAATATAAGTATACATACACCGAAAGGAAAAAAGATATCACACAAACACTAATCATAAGAAAGCTGCTTTCCAATGTAAGACACCCAAATAAAATAAAATAAAAATGTTTTTAAAAATGAAAATAAAGCTGCTATGGCTATATTTATATAGACAAAGCACACTTCAAGACAGAGAGAAATTTCATAAAAATAAAGCAATCAAGTTATCAGGAAGATATAATAAATCATAAGTGTCTATGCATTTAACAGTATAGCATCAACATGTATAAAACAAAAACTGGCAGAACTAAGAGAAGAAATAAATTCACAATCATAGTTTTGTTTTTTTTTTTAACATTTCTCTCCTATATTAATTGAACAGGAAAGCAGAAAAAAAATCAGTATAAATATAGACTATTAGAATAGCATATTCACATATTAACAGCATATTAAACAATACCAATTATTTAACTGCATAAGAGACTTTCTTTTCAAATGCATATGGCACATTTACCAGAAGAAACCATGTGCTGGGCCATAAAGGTAATAACAATGTCTGCTACATGGTCAGGGCCCCACAAATGTTTACTGAAATGAACTAACTCAGCAGAACTGTTAGGAGCATTCACTGTGTGTCTGGATAAGCTGTGAATTCTCAACTGTATTCCCTTGGAGATGCAAATAGATTGTTCTGCAGTGATGCACCATGTTCTGTGAACCAGGATGACTTTCTCCAGGTATGATTTCTGGCTCAATCTTTTCCCATCCACAGTTTCTGACCTCAGCATTGGGGAGATCTCCGTCAGATTTGCTGAATCCTAGCTGTGGCTTTGACTCAGGCAAATACTGCATGTTTTAGTTGATTTCAAACTCTGCCTACAGATTAAGAGCTCAGGGCTAATGAAAGCCCCAATGCCAGTATTTCAAAACTCAGTAACAGGCCACGAAAACTGAAATGCAAAATAATAATCACTACTTTTTTTTTCCGTTTTTTTGTTAAAAAGACAAAAATTTGTTACGGTTCTGGACATCGGAAATCCAAAACAGGTCTCAATAGATTAAAATCAAGGTATTCGCAGGGCTAGACCCCTTTCTTCTATGTTTAACTTTTTAGTTGACAAATAATAATTGTATACATGTATGGAGTATAATGTGATGTTTTAAAACATGTATACATTGTAAAATAATCAAATCCGAGAAATCCATATATTTGTCCCCTCAAATATTTATCATTTCTTTGTAGTGAAACAGTTAAAATCTTCTCTTGAAATACACAGTGCATTATTCTTTCTTCCTTTTTTGTAGAGATGGGCTCTTGCTTTGTTGCCCAGGCTGGTCTTTCACCCCTGGGCTCAAGCAATCCTCCTGCTTCAGCCTCCCAAAGTGTTGGGATTATAGATGTGAGACACCGTTTCCATTATTAACTATAGTCATCTTGCTGTGCAATAGAACACCAGACCTGATTCCCTCTATGTAACTGTAACTTTATACCCATTGACCAAGTCATCATTATTTGCTAAACATCCACTGTTGTTCCAGGCACAGTACTAAGTACTTCACATAACTGTTTATTCTTCACGTAACCTTGAAATGTGGTCATATTTCCATCTTGCAGATGACACACATTCAATAGATACACATTCAATACAGACGTGTATCAGAGAGTTCAAGTCACCAGCCTGAGCTCACACAGCTCCAAGTGGAGAACTGGCTTTCCAGCCCAGAAATTCCTGCTTCCAAAGCGCCCTGTAAGGGGTCCATATGTGGTGCAGGGACCAGCAGTCAACACACACAAGTCAGAGCCAGGATGAAAGCCACGGCACGGAGGATTCTGGGAAACTCTTCTGTACAAAACGGATCCCCAGTTTCAGCTGCATGTTGTAAGGGAACCAAGAGCCTAAACCTTGGAACCACAGAAGGGCCAAACCCCAGCTCTGTTTTGGTAGCTGAGTGACTGTGGAGAGGTCTTTAAGCCTCTTTGAGACCCTCATTTTCATCTATAAATAGAGGATTATGATACTGAGCCATGCTGGATTGCAGGAATGGCAGGCAGCCCAGAGACACAGGGGCAAGGCAGCCAGCTAGAAAAGCAGCCCCCCTCTCCTGCTAGCATCCTTTAATTCTTTGTGCTTTCTTTTTTTCTGTCTGGTACTCCTAACTACTGAAGTTACATTTTTCCTGACTTATGACTGTTTCCTTTATTAGAACAAAGCTCCTCAAGGCCAGGGACCTCAGCCATCTAGTTTATTTTTGAGTTCCCTAAGCCAGGGGCAGGGGTTCAGTCAATTACTAATGGATTCAAGAAGTGTCTGTCATCGCTGTCATTATCATTACCATTTCAGGGCTGCGCATGGGTTGGGTGGGAGTTCCATGGGGCCAGGACAGCTTCTAAAAGGTCTGATTCTGTGCCCCCCAAAAAATCTGTCACTAAGTATAATCTGGAATTCTGAAAATAAAAAGGCAGGCTTTTCAATGATCAGTGTCTTTTATGATTTTTAACACTGATAAAAATCTGGTAGATGCTAACATGTTCCATCTGACATCTGAAAAATCAAGAAGCAGATCCTTTTTGTAAGTGAGCATCTTTTATAATCTTAATAAAGTTTGTCATGGGAAGAAGTTTGTGAGAGGCATCAATTTCCATCCTGCTTTGAAACTTAATGCATGTTACATATATAGTAGTTCCCTCCTTATCTGAGGTTTTGCTTTCCAAGGCTTCAGTCACCCATGGTCAACTGTGGTCTGAAAATATTAAATGGAAAATTCCAGAAATAATTCTGAAGTTTCAAATAGCATGCTGTTCTGAGTAGTGGGCTGAAATCTCTCACCATCCTGCTCTGTCCTGCCTGGGCCTTGACTCGTTTCTTTGTCTAGCACATCCACGCCATCTACGCTCAGTCAGTAGCTGTCTGGATGATCAGAGATCAGCCGTCATGATATCAAAGTCCTCGTGTTCACATAACCTTTATTTTACTTAATAATGGCCCCAAAGTGCAAAAGTAATAATGTTGACCCATGGTTATAACTGTTCTATGTAACTATTAGTTGTTGTTAATATCTTTCTGTGCCTAATTTATAAATTAAACTTTATCATAGGTACGTATGCATAGGAAAAAATGGTATATATAGGGTTCGGTATTATCCAAGTTTTCAAGCATCGACTGGGGGTCTTGAACTGTATCCCCTGCATATGAGGGGGGAATACTATCTTTCTGAAGTTAAAATGTGGTAAGGACATGCTCAAGGGACTTAAGAGCGACTGGCGATTATGACTGCTAGTTACAGAGACCAACGCTGCCCAAGTCCCTGCTTCGTCTAACGGCCAGCCAATGGAAATGTATGGTTTCTGAATTAAAGGTAAGAAAAGCAAACATACAGCTTCCAGCTCCGGAAAACGCTCTAGAAACTGTGCCACGTAAGTCATGATAGACTGCTCGTCCGGTGTGTCAACCATGATGTCTGTCAAGAGAGACACAGGGATTAGCAGGAGATACAGACACACACGTTTTCAATAATTTCCCTGCATGCCTAATGGTGAAGAAACCCACACATCATTGAGGGTTTTTTCTCTTTATTTTTCACTTGAGGAACTTTAGGCTCAAAGAGGGCAAATCATTTGAAATCTCACAGCCGGCAGATGAACAGAGAAGCAAGGATATAGAATCCAGGACTTCTCATTTCCAAAATTCTGTCCCTCCTTCCTTGCTGCTTTAGTCCTTGCCACAGTGAGCAACCAGCTCACTGCTGGCTCCATGGGCAAGGATGGTGAACCAGGCAGCCTACATATGGTACCAGGAGTCCTATGTTAGCCTGATCCACGTGGAAGGCTACTTGACAGAGATAGCCAAACCCCTTAAACAGGAGTGGACTCTCCTCCTCTGTCATTCTGCTAATGAAATCTGGTCCTTAAGAAAATAATCTGGGATGCACGTTGAGCTTTATTAAGATGTTCACTGCACTGTTACATATAAAAGGAAATATTTCAGAAACCACCTCAATGTCTACCAGTAGTGGAAGAGCTAAGTACATTTTTTTTTTTTTTTTGAGACAGAGTCTGGCTCTGTCGCCCAGGCTAGCATGCAGTGGCACAATCTCAGCTCACTGCAACCTCCGCCTCCCGGGTTCAAGCAATACTACTGCCTCAGCCTCCTGAGCAGCTGGGATTACAGACTGTGCCACCACGCCTGGCTAACTTTTGTATTATTAGCAGAGATGGGGTTTCACCATATTGGTCAGGCTGGTCTCAAACTCCTGACCTCAGGTGATCCACCCGCCTTGGCCTCCCAAAGTGCTGGGATTACAGGCGTGAGCCACCACGCCTGACTGCTAAATACATTTTAGTATGCCCACTAGATGAACTATTATGCAGCCAATAAAAATATATAATAATGCATTGTAGTAGTATGTAAAATAGTTATGACATAATGTTAAGTAAAAAAGTACAAAATTATACAGGCAGTGAATGATACCAATTATGTAAAAATATAATCAGATGTATATAAAATATTGAAAAAATATTCATATGATCTGAGTGGTAGAAATATAGGAGACAAAATCTCCTTCATTAGATTTTTCTGTATTTTCCAAATTTTCTACATGGAACAGCAAGTGGTATATGTGTAATAAACATGATTGGAAAGAAAGAGAGAGGACCACTGCTACCTTCTGGCTCCAGGAGCCTGGGGATGTGCAGGGCATCCTGTGCAATGCGGAAAGCCTTCTCGAGATTTTCTCGTGTGGAATTTTCCAGGGCCTGTTTCATGTCCACCAGGCTGGGGTCAATGGCCTTGATCACTGCCAGGAAAGCCAGTCCACTCCTCCAGCTGCCCGCAAAGTCCTGCACTGCCACGCCATACCTGAAGGAAAAACAGCAGCAGTGGCCAGGATGCAGGTGAGTAAACAAACTCAAAGGTGCAAGGTCAGCATACAGCAGCCGCGTCGGTTTCTGAGTGGGGCAGAGCTGCCAGCCTCACCAGGTAAAGATGCCTTGGTCCCTGAGCGTGGGAGAGCTGCCCTGAACCACGCACATTTCCATTTCCGGCCAAATGGAATAGGAGGGTATACATTGCACCATGAGGCAAAATAGGACCCTGCGTTCCCCGATTTCCAGACACATAAAGGGCCAACTGTATAGACCATTCCTTGTATCAGTGACGTTGAAAACATAACAAGAATGTGTGGTGCCATATAAATGGAGCCAGAAAGACCCAAGTTTGTACTTCAGCTGTCCCCTCTATGCTTCTAGTGCCGTGGCCTTGGGCAAGTCGCCCACCTCTCTGAGCCTCAAACTCCACACAGTGAGCTTGCTGGGGCTTTTGTGGGGAAAGCCGAACCTGGCCCCAGAAGGGCCATGTCATAGGGTCAATCTAACATGCGACGTTGGGAGCCCACGAAAGCCACTCACGAAATGACAGCTGCTATTACCAGTAATAGAAATACAAGCATCATTGTTAAGCGAGGGGCAGATGAGCTTTCAATCTATTTTGTTGAATGGAGGCTACCTAAATTTTTAAAAGTAAAAGTGAAGAACAAAAGAGAAGAGAATCCTGCCAGACGCTGATTTCCTTTAGAACCCATCCTGAGACTCCACCAATCTCTCAACTGTGGTCAATGAACTCTCTTAAAAAAACAAAAAACAAACGGCCCAAACATCTTTTTATTTAGAAATCCTTTAAGACCCAAGAGAAGTTGCAAACACAGTACAGAGTTCCTGTTCTTTCCCCTGCTTCCTCCAGTGACGGCATCGTACGTTACCAGGGTGTGTCATCCAAACCAGAACACCAACACTGGTCCAATACAATTATTAAGTAAGCTAAGGACTGCATTTGAATTTCATGTTTTCATGGGTGCCAGTTTTCATGGGGGTGGTGCACAGATTCATGTAACCACCACAGTAGAGAAACAGAACTGTCCCATCACCCCAAGACACTTCTCTCCCTTAGGGTCACACCCTCCTTCTACCCTAACTCCTGGCAATGATCTGTTTTTTGGTTGATTTGTATGTAAACGACATTTAATGGTTATTCGCATTTGTCAATTTCAATCTACCATGCTTGATCTCTCAATCAAAACTCCAAAGATCCACTCTTTTCCCCCTTTTATTTCCACACAGGGGAGGAAGGAATCAATGTCTGTGAAGTGCTTAATATGGGTTGGTACTGTGAAAGGTGCTTTCATGGGTTTTATTCCATTTCACCTAACTGTCCTGGAAGGCAGTGAGTCATAGGTTACCATTTGCAGTTGGAGCATGGAAAGGTAAATGATTCACCAGGTTCTCAACCAGTCTGTATGCTGAGAAGCTGGGGCAGCCCCATGTTGGTTTGGTTTCCACCACACTGGCCTGGCATGTGGACCCATGGTCCAGGGGCTGTGGGCCTGCTTCTGGTAAAAAGGCCTGAAACAAATTGGCTAAAATCACTCAGCTGCTGGTGTAAGGTGAAACAGGGCCAGAACTTTGCTCCAGTTCACCTGTCTCGATTTTGGAAGGTCAGGCCTTACAGCCTTTATTGTTACTTTTTTGTTGTTTGGCCCAGGCTGGAGTGCAATGGCGCAATCTCAGCTCACTGCAACCTCCACCTCCCGGGTTTAAGCGATTCGCCTGCCTTAGCCTCCTGAGTAGCTGGGATTACAGGGATGTGCCATTACTCCTGGCTAATTTTTGTATTTTCAGTAGAGACGAGATTTCTCCACATTGTCAGGCTGGTCTCGAACTCCCAACCTCAGGTGACCCGTCCACCTCAGCCTCCAAAAGTGCTGGGATTACAGGTGTGAGCCACTGCACCAAACCTATTATTACTATTTTAAAAGTAGGTACAGACACTGGAAGATGTCCTGAAGCTTAAATGTGTACAAGTCATTAGAATCCAAGAGACAGGCCCATTTTGGGAAACAGCATGATGAAAGCCCCTCTGATCTGTGTTCAAATCTTCTCATTAGCCTTGTGCAAACCAAACATTCTGCAAACTGCATTTTGTGTGTGCTGCAAAACCAGAAAAAAATGCAGTGTTTCCTGTTCTGATATTCTATAAGAAGCAACGGGCACATACATAACTGGCACCTTAATAAATACTAATTCTCTTCTCCTCTGCCTGAAAGCAGCTAATTAAATGAAGCGGAGCAGGGAGAAGGGGCTGTGGCTTACTTTCTCGTTTTTCTCTGCACCCATGCCAACAGGGCCTTGATGGCCTTCCTCTGGTCTTTCACCGATATGGCCACGCTCCTCTCTCTCTCTGTGGTGGGTGTGGGTGGGAAGGATGAGTCTGAGTCTGTGCCCCCTGAGCCGGGTGAGAGGCTGGAAGATGGAGAGTTTCTGCTGAGGTTGCCTGTGAGCTCCTTAATCTGGAAGGAAAATGGCATTTCAGACCCCAGCAACAGACCCACCCTCCCAGCAAGCCCCTTGTCAGGCTAGTGGACACATGACCATGGCTGGAGGGACCAGCTCATGCAGAATTGGTTCCCTGAATGCAGAGAAGCCCTTTTGGATGGCTGTGGCAGGGGACAGGCAGTACTTGCGATGGCATGACCGTTTCATGTGGCTTGTGGTACACGTAATTACACTCTACAGGGAGGACCATCTTTTCCTGAAGTCTCTCCAGCTCCAGCCACCACTTCACACAAGATCTTCCCGACCTGACTCCACCACCCCTTTCCTCTCACCACCCATCATTCCCAGACTTCACTGCGCTCTTTCAAGCCCCACTGCCTCTGCTCATCCTGCCCTTGCTGCCTCCATGTCCCTTCCCTCCATCAGTGAACTCCTCTCTTGAAGACTTCCGTAAGACACGCAGAACCCTAGGTTCTACCCCAGAGCTACTGGAATCAGAATCTGCTTCAATACCACCCGCAGGCAATTCACACACACAGTAGGTTAAGTAACTTAGTTTGAAGGATGAGTAGGGGTCTAGTGCATTCCTATCCTACTTATCCTTCAAAACCCAGCTCTGGCGTCACTTCTTCCAGGAAGATTTCCTCACTCCACTCCCCATTCTTTTAACACATCTTTAGGATGTTTCCAGAATCTCTGAGGAAGTCTAATAACAGGCAGCAGTAATTGAAGCATATATATAACACATGGCGGCAACTTCTTTTTTTTGAGACAGGATCTCATTCTGTCCACCAGACTGGAGTATGGTTTCAAGATCGTGTCTCAATATAGCCTTGAACTCTCAGGCTCAAGCAATCCTCCAACCTCAGCCTTCCAAGTAGCTGGGACTAGAGGCACACACCAATATGCCCAGCTAATTTTGTTTATTTTTTTATTGAGATGGGGTCTTGCTGTTTCCAGGGCTGATGTCAAACTCCTGGGCTCAAGTGACCCTGCTGCCATGGCCTCTCAAAGCTCTGGGATCATAGGCGTGAGCCACTGTGCCCAGCCCACATAGCTTCTTTTGATGCTCACTGCACATTATGACCACTGCTCCCATTTCACAGACATGGAAACTGAAACAGAGAGATAGTCTTTTTTTTTTTTTTTTTTTTTTTTAAAGTTCAGGGTTCACCCAGAACAGGAACTATTGTCTCCAGACCTTGTTTGTGCTCATGTTTCTCTGAAATGCAGGCATTGAGCCAAAATCCCAAGTAAATCATGCCTGTGTGGATCACTTTCACTCTTGGGAGGGTGATCAAACAGTGAACCATGAGTTTCTATTGCTAAAGAGAGTGGGCTTTAGAAAATGAGATACCAGCTCTCTCCTCCTGACAGGGAAATGAACTTGAGTACAATTTAAAATGACATCTTCCTACTCCAACCACAGATCCAGTTCTTCCTCTATGAAATGTGCATTTCCAGTTAGAGGCTGAGGTTGCAAAGAATGGAACAATAAGATCTCGCCTGCTAGCCTTCTTCCTCAGGCATCTTTCGTGCAAGCTCTTTCATCGTCTCTAAGGAGCACTGAGTGATTATAGGAAAGTAACTCTACCAAGTTCCATTTTTGGTCAGGAGTATTTCTCCGGTTCTTGTGACACTTTAGAACAAAGCTATGTTTTGAAGTAAATATCTAACTCTTCCAGTCCCAAGAGGATGGATATTCTCTTCTAGAGAACTCACACCACTTTTAAAATCACAGGGACTCAAACACTTCAGCAACCAGATTCTTCTAGTGCTTTTTCAGTGAGTAGAAAAGATAAAAATCTGCCATAAGCTAAACCTCACTGCCTCCCCTGATCTAGCCCCACTCTCTTCTGCCACTGCTCAGCAGACACAAGATCATGACTGTGTGTTTTGGAAAGAAAATGATCTTACCTGGAAGAAGAGGATTATGTTCCATATCAGCCCAAGAACCAAAGAAGGGTTGCCATCTGCTATTTCTGCTGCATCGATGCTAACCAGTTTAACCTGGAGGGAAGGAAGTTATGAACTTAAAGGGGGGTGTCCAGGGAAGATAACACATGTTATTTTCCAGTTCTGTGTGTGTGTGTGTGTGTGTGTGTGTGTGTGTGTGTGTGTGTGTGTTTTCATGAGTCTGTTTTTCTTACTTAAGCTGCCATTCTCAGGGACACTCAGCATGCAAAAGCGTATTTAATTAACACATACATAGCACTTGCACTTACCATGTGCAGTCACTATTCTGAACTCCTTACAAATATTTACTCAGTTTATACTCACAATAACCCTATCATGTAGGTGTATTAGTCCGTTCTCATGTTGCTGAAAAGATACTACCTGAGACTGGGTAATTTACAAAGGAAAGGGGTTTAATGGACTCACAGTTCCATATGGCTGAGGAGGTCTCACAATCATGGCAGAGGGTGAAGGGAAGCAAGGCACATGTTACATGGCGGCAGGCAAGAGAACCTGTGCAGGGGAACTCCCCTTTATAAAACCATCAGATCCTGGGAGACTTATTCCCTATCATGAGAACAACACGGGAAAGACCTGCTCCCATGATTCAAACTACCTCCCAGCAGGTCCCTCCCACAACACATGGCAATTATAGGACCTACAGTTCAAAATGAGATTTGGGTGGGGACACAGCCAAACCATATCAGTGGGTACTTCTATTGTCCCTCCAGTTCAGGTGAGGAAATTTCAGAGAGGTTAAATATAACATGCCCAGTGCCATGCAGCTGGTAAGGTTTCAGTCATTCTTTTTCCGAGAAAGAGAGATTGGAAAATGCCCAGTAGGTCTGTCTGCTACACACACACCACCACGCCTGGATTTAGCATGTCCTTGAAATAAGCACAGAACACTGACATCAGCAATCATGGACTGTGGGTGGATGAGTTCATTGCTAAGTAGAAATCATGTGCTGGGAAAAGGTTTATACCCAGGGTTTCTGCACCATTAGAAAACATCCCACTGATTAGTTAAAATGAGCCTCTTGTAGAAACCTTTAGGGTCTTACCTATGTATTTAACTATGTTGTGACCACAGAATGACACTCTTGGTAAATCCCTAAGGCCAACCTGGCATCTGGACCAGCAGCATCTGCATCATGTGGGCCCCCCATGTTAGAAATGTACATTCTCCCCTATACCTACAGAATCAGACACTGTGGGTGAGTCCAGCAATCTGCATTTTAACAATTGTGCCAGTTGGTTCTGGTGCATGCTCGGGTTTGAGGATCACTGCCCTAAGTCATCAGTTCATTCCACAAACAAAATCTCAGTACTGGACACAGATCGGGGCTCTGCAGACCTCTCTGAAAAGGGCCAGAGAGGAAGTATTTAAGGCTTTGCAGGCCACAATGGTGTCTGTCACATTTTTTTTCATCTTTCTTAATAACGCTTAATAAAGCAAAAGTCATTCTTCAGTAGGAGGAGAGGAGAAACCAAGTCAGGATACACCATCAGATCCACACTGTAAAATTCTGCCTGGTAGACTCAGGAAAGAGAACTTGAAGAGAGCACCTCATACGAAATCTTTTCCTTTCTCCTCTATTTCTTTCCTCTCTCACTTCCGCTCATGGCTTTTTAAACTGTCTGACATGGGTCTCTGATCCTATCAGTTCATCATGGGTTTCTGACACCACCAATCAGTTAGGCCTGGGCTTGCCTAATCGAGGGAGACTTCTGGGTTCCCTGGCTGCAGTCAGTTTTGAGGGCAGATGCCAGGAATATAATTCAGACAACACAGGCTCATCACTGCCAGGTTGGAGGCCAGGAAGGAAGTTGTCGATCCTATGAATAACACAGTCAATCAAATTGAGGTTCAGTACTGCGTCTGCATTCACCACGAGCGCATGTCCTGCAGGATGGATCACGCGTGAGAACTCGCCTGCTTGTCTCCTAAGCCACTGCTCTGACAGCACCTTCTGTTTCTGTGGCTTACTGAGCACATTCCAGTCCAGGGGAATCAAAGATGCTAGTCAACTTGACCACCACGGCCTTCCCTCTCACCTGGAGGAAGCCCAAATGGCAAGTGACAGCTGTGGCCCTCTAAAATGAGGTTTCAAAGTGAGGAGACAGAGCTGCCTTGTAGGGGTGCCATAAGCACCACAGTGCACCATCCTAAGAGGTGCAGGGCTGAGCAGGGAGCTGCTGGCTCTTGGGAGGGCCATGTAAAGAAAGCACCCTCCTGACCATGAGGTTCAGAGAACTGGGCTGAGGGAAGATGGTGATTGCAGGTGGTCCAAGGCCCCAAGGAGCAGGTATTTCCAAAGACCGTGGCTTGGGTACCCAGCCACCATTTTGTTTTTGGTGGTGAATAAAAAAGTTAACAGCTAGACTTCAGTCAAGAGCTTCAGGGACAATGTCTTCCTCCTCTTCTTCCTCCTAACTCAGCTGGTTTTTCCAGACTGAAAACAAGTGGACCACCTGGTTTATGGAAAGATCCCCTCTCCCTCTACAGGTGGGAGAAGGTGGGATCACACTTAGTTATCACATCTCGGGTGACAACTCAGGGGCCTAGTGAGTGACAATGGCCATCCTGAGAATGGAGAGTGCTTTTCACAGGTGAGCTTCTTTAGTGTTACAATATACTCATTTTAGAGATGAGGAAGTTCAGGCTCAGAAAAGCTGAGTAACTTGTATGTCATAGAGCTGGTCCTGTGGGGCAGCCCATCTCTGACGTGGGCATAAATACTGTGCTCTGTGGTATGTGGTTGCAGGGGAGGGAGTGGGGGACACGGGCCAGGCACAGCACCTAACGTCATCTGAATCCTGGAGCAGAGAAGACCTGGCTGCTGCCTGGCATCCACCACCCAGTTCTGGCACTGCTTTGACTCAGCAGAGCCGTTTTAGCCTGTTGAGGACAGTGGGCTGAGACAATGGGACAAGAAGCGACCACGAGGGCCCACTGAGTACTTTGTGGATTCTGGGAATAGGATAGACACTGCATCTGAAATGCTCCTTTCCACCTGGCTCACTCCCTCGGGCTTGCCTTCCCACTGGGCTGTTCACTTGTCCTACCCGCCTGGCCAATGGGGCCCAACAGGGCACCAAGCTGACATAGGATGCCCACATTTTGAATATTTACCATTGCTTGAAAAAGTAGGGTGGATGGAGGCTTTAATGTTCATTGACTTCCAGGCAGCTACTGCGAGCAGTTTGGAAAATACGACAGATGGATGTCAGGAGGCCAGGCCTCCCCAGGCCTCTGCACTGCTCTTCCTCATTGCCACACCTGTTCGTAGGCTAGTCCCTCCCACTCAGCTGTTTGTTTTCACCTCTGCAGGATCGTCCCTCTTCTTCATGGCCCTGGTGCGACATGCAGCTTCCTGTCCATGTGAGGTCTCTTCCAGCTGACCCTAAGCATCTTGAAGGCACAGATGAGTCTCTAACATAGCTGTCTGTCCCCAGCGCTGAGCAGTCCCAGGCCCACAAATGACCCTTAGTAAATGTGACCCAAACTGTTGCTGAAAGCAAACCTGTGATGCTGAAATGACCACGAGGCAGAGAGAGCTCCTACTGCAGGCAGTGGTGGGGCTGCCCTGAGGCTGCAGGGGCAGGGCAGTGGGGGCATGTCCCACCGTCCCTTCAGGGGGCTCTGCGGTGGTCCTGGTGCCTGGCAAGGGTTCTGTCCCTGATTCCTTGGTCTTTCAAGTCATTCTGTGGCTACTCAGTATCTTTTTAGCAAATTCCTTTTCTGCTTAAATCAACTGAGTTTAGCTTCTGTTACTATGAAGAACCCCAAATGAATCCCACTTTATGATAAAATCTCAGTGTGTGTGCCAATGTGTTGGGCAAGCTGGGTTTTGTTTTAACACGGACTGATTGGTGAAACCTAATGAAAGAGGGGCGATGAAACTCCATCCCTGATGAGTCAACCCTTCCCATGTGTGAAGAACATGGGGCAGAGTTCCAGGCACAGGAAAAGCTCATCAGAGTCTAGAAAGTTACATCAAAAAAGGGAGAATTTTATAATTTTTTCCCTGACTCATTTAGTCTTCCTCTTCCCCTTTTTCTCCCATATTCTAAGTTGCAAGAGAAAGCTTTACACTTGGACATGCTCGCCATACTCTTATTAAGGGAAATGAAGAAGAAAGCATGAACTAAATTCCAAATATCTGAGAGCCGGTCAGCTGCTCTGCCCTTCCGCAACTGAACATCCATCAGAGTTCTAATCCTGATGGACGCAAAGTGGGTGGGCATGGAGTCAGGGACTATGTTCCCAACAGAGGGGTCACCTAAGTGATTTCTGTGAAATTTAAGCTTAGTTGAATTTGACCATTTTAGCTCAGGCTTCATGGTTCTCTTGCGACCAGCACTGAACTTCAGATGACATTCTGTTCCTAATAGGACAAGCTTGTGTTAGCAGGATGCGCTTCAAACACTTACATTGCTATCTTCCAAAAACTTGAGTGCTTTCGCTATGTTATTCAACCGAAAAATACGATGTGATGAACATTTGTATTCGTGCAGCTATAAAACAGAACAGAACAAACAAGCACATTCAACCCACGCAGGCACTTCACAATGCCCAGCGCTGCCGCTGGGTGTGCTTTACTTTTTTCACATGAGTTTCAAGACAAAGTTAGGCGCTCACAGCTAATACCCACCTGGAATGCATCCAAACCCAGGTACCTCTCAGGACGAACAAATGTGACATCGGAGAGCTTTCGAAGCTTGGCCTTATTTACAGTACTTGGGATTTAACTCACTGAAGCTGGTGAGTGGGGGGAACTGAAGTGAGCTGACAAGGGACAAATTTGTCAAATTTTTTCTCTGGGACCCAGCTCCTGGCTTGTTAGATTCCTCCCTTCTCCTGAGACCCTCAGTCACATGTTCCCTTCGCTGAACTGCTGCTTTTGTTAGGGCAGGGAGCATGAGCTGTCAGCATCACCGCTCAGCTGCTAAATCATCCAGCCCAGGTCCTCCCCAGTGGCGGCAGATGTTTCTGTTTTCTAGCCAAGAGATTTGTGGACAGTTATCCCAGGTCAAAGGAGAGAAAGAGAGAAGGATGTCTGCAGAAGCTAAAACTCTGACAGTGTTAGCTCTACATACCAGGACTGCCATCACAGTCAACTTAACCCGAATCAAAGCACATCGAGGCTCCTCCAGGTTGGGGGAAGATGGCATTTCATGGCAAACCAGTGGGTCAGTTCTACCAGCTGTGAAGTGCCAGGCCACGCTCATGGGGAAGTAGAGGCCTATTCTTGGCTGGGCTCCAGAATCAAAGACTCCCCACGGAGGCCCACCAGGGACACAGCAGCTGGTGACCCGGGCTCTGGCAATAGAGTGGGGAGCCTGTGTTGCTGGGAGCACAAACAAGGGACCAGAAGGCACTTTTTCACGGAGTCTTTTGGAGATCATGCTCATGGCACGTCCCTCCAAGGAACCACATACTGTTGGGAATTCATCACATAACATTGCATAGCCCTCTGTGAGTGCCGCTAATAAATTTTATCTCCTGTTTTGCCACAAGAAAGCAAAGTGGGGGAGGGTTAAGAAGCCTGATAAGGTATTAGCTACATTACATCTGAGAAGAGAAGCAGGGACTCTTGACTCTAGACCTACAGTTAAGGACAGGCCCAGGACACTCTGTGCTGGCTGAGCTACGGTTTGGTAGAGGAGTGACCCCACGGCTGCACCTCTGTGTTAGGCACGATGGGTTGCCAAGGCCAAATCAAACACTGGACTCCAGAGCAGGTCTTCGCAACCTTCACACTCCTACATTCTGGACTGGGTCAGGTTGCCCCCTCATGGAACATTTCATCATGTGTGGGCGATGGCTGGCTGTCACACCCGGGGGTGATGTTGGCATTTAGCAGTTAGATACTAGATGTCCTGCAATGCACAGGACATCTTCCCACAATAAGAAACCATCTGACCCAAATGTCAACCGTGCCAAGGCTGAAAAATCCCACTGTCTGTGAAGAGGAGAAAAAGGGCCAATCTGCACACAGCAGATGCATGCAACATGGAGAAGTCTGGCTCATGTCCAAGGTGAAATGAATGTCAAGACCAGCTGGCTCCACTTCAGTCATACTTAAAAGAATGTTCTAGAAGCCAGCAGTTCTAGTTTTAGCCCTAGGGTGGTTAACAAAAGGACTTTCCCTTCCAATTTTTCCAGTTTTTAGTGATAATTCTAGTTTACATAATGGCTGGCTGGCTAAACTTTAACTGTTTAGTTCTAATCTTAAGCCTTAACAGCCTCACAGAAAACACTGGGCATTTATTTACTAAAATACATTTACTTTTTTTTTTTTTTTAAGGGTACTAGTTTGTCCCATCTGATTATATGGCTCATAGGCACCAATAAAAAAGAAAAGTCACTGCTTCAGAGTTTCTTGTCCAGGTGTGTGTGTGTGCACGCAGGTATATGTGTTGAAAAAAAAAAACCTCAGCAGTGTTTTCCTTTGCATATTCCTTCTTTCTGACCCTTATGTGACATACGTACCAGATTCCGCCCAGACAGGACTTCTAACAAGGCCATTAGGATTTTGCCATCTTGTATATCAATGAATAAGTCTTTAACTTCTAGAGGTGGGTTGCACTTTGAAAGAGAAGAGAAGAAAGTAGCCAATTAGCAACCTGTGTGGTCCACAAAGCTATTTCAGAGATGCAGGTATCTGCTCAAGAGGAAACTTCCAAACATCCGGTTCTGTTTACAGGCAGAAAAGGCCATCCAAGGAGGTAGCAGGCCCCTCCTCCTTGAGGTGATGCCTGCCTGGGTAGCCGTGCACAGCCACTTGGCAGGTAGGCTGCAGAGAAGATTCACCACCAGGGGGCTGATCAAACTAGTGACCCTTGGGGGCCCTTGTAACCTAAGAGCTCAGACCCCAAGTTCAGATCACATCCACATGCTTAAGGGCAGAAAGAAATGGCATGTCTTGACTGTATCCTTCTGTAGAATAAAATAATTCCATTAGGATTTATGTGAAATTACCTAGTGCAGGCCCTTCCTTTTATTTATTTATTTATTTTTTGAGGCAAAGTCATGCTCTGTCACCCAGGCTGAAGTGCAATAGCACTATCTTGACTCACTGCAACCTCCACCTCCTGGGTTTAAGCGATTCTCTTGCCACAGCATCCCGAGTAGTTGGGATTACAGGCGCCTGCTACCATACCCTGTTAATTTTTGTACTTTTAGTAAAGACGGGGTTTCACCATGTTGGACAGGCTGGTCTTGAACTCCTGACCTCAGGTGATCCACCCACCCTGGCCTCCCAAAGTGCTGGGATGATAGGCGTGAGCCACCCCACCCAGCCGCCCTTCACTTTAGATTTGGGGAAACTGAGGCTCAAAGAGGGCGAGTGATAGTTGCAGCATTTGGTCATTTGGTCAAGCTAGCTGTTCAGTATTGTCCTGTTTCCTGTATCAGGCCACAAGGGCCGAACACAAGCACACTCAAGATCCACATGGCAATGACAAGACCCTGGGCCGGTTACTCTCCAGGCTTCAGTCTGGGTATCAGTAGGGGTCCCCCATCTCCTAGACTGCTTCAGTCTTCAAAAGTGCGCCCTCCTGAGGTGCCTGTCATTGTTTTACCAATATTTAGACCAAGTCTGGAGGTAGAGGAACCCTTAGCAGAGGAAGCCAGAAAGGGCGCTGGCGTGTGAGACTTGGCTGGGAGGGGGTACAGCTGGCTGCTGCATGGCTCAACGGTTGGGTGAAGGGAAGGATCCTTTCTTACCCCACATCCGTAGGCTTACTAGGAACTCAAAGGTTCAGAAGTCGATTTACATGGCCATGAATATGTTTAAGTGTATTTACATGTTTAGGTACAAAAGCAATACAAGCTCATTATTACAAATCAAACTCATTAAAGTTATACCAAAAAAATTAAAAAGCTACAGGTTACCCGCTCTATTCCTCCACAAAATGCAGCTTCCTGAGATAAACCAACATTGCACCTCTCACATCAGCCAGTGAGAAGCAAGGGCATTAGACACACCTGAGTTCAAAGCCAAGCTCTACGTCAACAGTGACTTGGCCTTGGACACGTTCTTTAACCTCCCTGGGCCTAACCTGACCTTGCACACTTGCAGAGACAGCGTACTTGTCTGCCAGGGCAGGTGAGGAGTCTGACCCTCCTCAGAGGGCTGAGCTGGAATGAAATGAGATCATGCAGGTGGGGAGGCTGGCACAGCGCCCGCCTGCCCAGCCCAGTCCCACCTGCTGACTGCTAAGTGGCTTCCTGCCTGCAGAGCCTTGGGATGCTCTCCTTAGGAAGACATGTCATTCAGAGGGCGTATGCCTTGTGGCCATCAGTGGAAGGGACATGTCCTCAGCTGACTGCCCCTTCCTGGTGAATGGCTCTTGAAACATCTTCTTTCTGCTCTACTCACTCACTGTTAGAAACAGAAGCTCAGGGCTGCAAAGAACAATTAGCACTGAGACAAAGAATTTTTTTAGCAATGCAGTTTTTACTTCCTGAACTGCAGGAAGGGTACCCTCGCTAGCCATCCTGCCACAAGAGTATAATGAACAAAGGACCACAGACACATTTATTCCTTATGTATTTGGGGCCGTTCTTACTGCTGTCTCTGATCTACGTTGGCTGGAGCCTGACCTCACAATCTAAACTAAAACCCGACTGGCTAACAACTTAAAACTTTTCTAAACAGGGAAAAGCAATGGAGAGCTGGGACATGCCTGTGAGCGTGTTCAGCACAGAGATACTGGTTAAAGTACAAGGACACAGACTGTACTATGTGCCGGTAAGCATGGCATGTCTAACAGCTGCAGAGGATAGGGCTTGACAAAGAGTTATCAGCACACGTATTCTTTAACAAGAAAGGAAACTTTAAAGAGGAATTTTTCTTCCCACACTCGCTTTCTGGGTTCCCTGGGTCAGTAAATGGAAGCCCTAGTCAGTTCACGTAGACTACTTCCATCTCCCTGAGGAAAAAGGCAATTCCCTAAACAGGATCTGGAGTGTGGAGGGGGGCCTGGGAGAGAATAGCTAGAAGCCCCCCTGGGCTTTCCTCTCTGAGCCTAGATCCGGAAGGGGTCTGCTGTCCAGGCGAACTGACACTGTGTGGTTCAACACGGTATCCACTAGGAGCTTGGCTGTACATGGCCGCAAGTCTGAGGAACTGGCTGGAACTTGTGAGTTAGATGCTCCAGGGCAGGGATTTGCAAACTGTGTTCCCCAGAACCTTAGGCTTCAGCAGAGCAGCTTTAGGACACCCTATGAGAGAGAGTGGGGTGGAGGAGGAAGCTGATCCTAATGGCCCCCTTTAATCAGAGGTACAGCTTTTATTGGCCTGTACAGACATCCCTCAGTATCTATATGGGATCAGTTCCAGGACTCTCCTCAGATACTAACATCTGCAGATGCTCAAGTCCCTGATATATAATGGCACAGTATTTGTATATAATCTATGCACATCCTGCCATATACTTAAAATCATCTCTAGATTACTGATAATACCTAATTCAGCGTAAATGCGATGTAGATAGTTGTTATACAGTACTGTATTGTGTAGGGAGTAGTGACAAGAACCAAATCTGTACATGTTCAGTGCAGATGCGGTTATTTTTCTGAATTTTTTTTATCTGCTGTTGGTTGAACCCACAGATGTGGAACCTACAGAGAAGGTGGGGTGACTACATTTACAGTTCTAGGCAATGCTTTGCTTGAAGAAAGGTTTCTACTGTCTAAACAAGCTTGATAATAACTCCTCTTAATCACAACAGAATCTCTGGGAGCAGGGTCCAGAAACTTGCATTTTTCTTCTTCTTCTTCTACTTCTTTTTTTTTTTTTTTTTGAGAGGAGATCTTGCTCTGTGGCCCAGGCTGGAGTGCAGTGGCATGATCATGGCTTACTGCAGTCTCAAATCCCCAGCTCAAGTGATCCTCCCATCCCAGTCTCTTACATAGTTGGAACTACAGGCACGTGCCATTGTGTCCGGTTAATTTATAAAATTTTTTTTAGAGATTAAGTCTCTCTACATTGCCCAGGCTGGTCTCAAAGTCCTGGGCTCATGCAATATCCTCCTACCTTGGCTTCCCAAAGGGCTAGGATTACAGGCATGAGCCACCATGCCTGGCCGAAAACCGATTCTTAATAAGCTCCCACCCCAGCATGAACTTCCTGTTTACGTTTTTAGATGGGGGACTTTGGCAAGGTTAGAGCAGCTGGTCTGGGTGCTCTCTCTGCTCCTGCATACAGGGGAAGGTTGGGCATTCACATGGGAGCCAGGATTAATGGGGCATGGTGCTCCTGAGGCCAACGGGAAGGTGGCAGCCATAACCAGCCAGAGACCCAGGGGCAGGAAACAGTGGAACTGAGGCCCAGCCACCCTTTCCCTGTGGGAAAGCCTCCTTCCCGTGGCAGCTGTGGAGGGCCTGTGTTTTATTTTTTATGGAGGAAGGTGGCATTTCCTTACCCTTCATATGAGTCCCTTTACTCCCAGTTAGTCAAAATACAGGGCAATTCCACCCGCAGGTGCACAGAAAAGGGCTTCGCTTCAAGGGCAACAGCATCTTTGAACCAAAAGGCAAATTATTTTCTTTGCAAACTGCCCCAGCTCCTTGGGCACATTCCACCCCAAGCATGACGGCATCAGGTTACTGAGGCTCTTACGGAAATGTTATTCCTGTTAATGCGAGACAGAAAACGCGAGACCCGAACGAAATACCCCCTGATAAATGGACTAACAAAATTTCCAGTTACCAGCCCTGGCCGTGGCCAAGCCTGACTTCTGAGTTAAACCTGAAGAATAATTTCCATTGACAGTTCCTGTAAGAGCCTCAGCAGCAGCAGCAAACGGGGCCTTGGCCAGAGTCCATCCTGCGAGCTGGCAGGGGGAGAAATTGAACCTGCGCCAGGGAAAACACTCCTTGGGCCCCAAACGCTCCGTGGGCTTCATGAGATTGGTATGGCCGAATAAACAGCACCCCCAGGGCTTTCTTCATGATCTAACTCCTTCGGTAAATTAAGGAATTTTTCCAGAAGCCAGAGACTCAGTAAATATTTCTGACAGCCTTCAAATTGCAGTTAAGCCCAATTCACCAAGGAGTTCCCAGGTTTCCTTTACATGAAAGGTTGTTCTTGAAAGTCTCAAGGTTGGAAACATGGCTGTTAATTTTGCCCTGTTTATTAGACATCAGTTTCAGGTGCTATCTGATTTATCTTCAGAGTGGGTACTACCCACCTGCGCTGAGAAGGGGGCAGGAATCTGGCCAAGGAGAAAAATCCTTGATATGATAAATGTGAACAGAGGTTCATTTGGGGCGGTGGGTGAGATTGGGGGTATTTGCCACATGACCCTCTGTACTTTTCTGTATTAATTTATTTTAATTTTTTAAAAAAGAAAGAAAGAAATACTCCATGGCTCTAGTGTGTCCTCCCGCAGGAATTTCCGGCTACCCTGACACACATCAGGCATTAATTTCAGAGCTCAGGGATCTCAGGTTTGGGGACCAGTTTTCTTTTCTTTTTCCCCCAAAAATAACACTTCACTTTAGAAGCAATGCCGAAAACGTACCAATAGTCAAAACAACTGGCAGATGATTTATAAAGCTCCATTGGTGATACAATCTTTCACTTGTAGAGTTCAGGAGGCTCCTGGGTGACGTGGTGGCACCACGTCACGTGTTCTACATGTGGGGAGTGGAGATGTGGGTGGCTGAGTGCCTGTTTGTACAATACCCTAGACCTAAAGGTAAACTACTTGAATTAGAATTGCGGTCAAGAGCCCCACTTCCTAAAAGCCACATTTATTTTCTCTGCTTTCTAATCATTTCAATGATTTCCTAAGAACCTTTCTTATTTGTTAACCATAAGAGCAGTCAATAGTACTCTTGAACCATTTAGTTTGTTGAGACAGGGTTTCACTCTGTCACCCAGGCTGGAGCGCAGTGGTGCGATCTCAGCTCACTGCAACCTCTGCTTCCTGGATTCAAGCAGTTCTCCAGTCTCAGCCTCCCCGGTAGCTGGGACTACAGTCACATGCTACCATGTCTGGCTCATTTTTGTATTTTTAGGAGAGACAGGTTTTGCCATGCTGGCCAGGCTGATCTCAAACTCCTGACCACAAGTGATCCACCTGCCTCGGCCTCCCAAAGTGCTGGGGACAGGCATGGGCCACTGCGCCCAGCCTCTCTTGAACCTTTCAAGAGGAGAAGAGAGAAAAAAATAGACATACCTACAGACATGAAAGTGGGGTGCTACCAGCTTCAAACAGAATTGAGACTACTAGCTGAGTATAGATGGAAAACCAGGTAGTGGTGCTCAAGGAGAAAGAGGTGAAGTGAGGAGATAAAAATCAACTTTCTAAAAAAAGAGAAAAATTGTCTCTCCTCTCCCAGCCCCAGCTCCACAGCCTTGAGGTCCACCTCATGTGCCAGGAGGGCTGGGATTTCTGCCTGCTCCCATTCCCCTTCTCACCCAGAGCTCTTCATCCCTTCCCAGCAGTGCCTCTCCTCCGTGGCCCTTCCTTTAGTCTCTTTCTTGGGGGAGCTGATCCTGCTGCTTCTGTTTTACGGTGTGTGCATGAGATGCTTGCACACAAAATGCAACTCAAAACAGCCAGACCACAGAATGCAAGGAAAAAAAGAAACAGTGGAAGAGAAGGGCCACTAAGTTGAATACAGAAAAGAAGCCACAGAAAGTTCAGGAAAGCCATATAATGTCTCCATGCCTGTTTCCTCCTTCTGATAGGAGACGGTAACCCGAGTCATCTTGAGGATGATTGGAGACGTGGCATGTGTGTGGCACTAAGCAGGATGCCTGCTGCAGAGTGAAGTACATCAAAAGGGGCAGGTAATATTATTATTATTATCATTATTATTTTTTTTGAGATGGATTCTTGCCCTGTTGCCCAGGCTGGAGTGCAATGGCACAATCTCGGCTCACTGCAACTTCCACCTCCCAGGTTCAAGCGATTCTCCTGCTTCAGCCTCCTGAGTAGCTGGGATTACAGGGGTGTGCCACCAAGCCTGGCTAATTTTTTTGTATCTTTAGTAGAGACAGTGTTTCACTATGTTGACCAGGCTGGTCTCAAACTTCTGACCTTGTGATCCACCTGCCTCAGCCTCCCAAAGTGCTGGGATTACAGCCACTGTGCCTGGCCCCATTACTATTATTAAACAGTAACACGGTGTGACTTTAGAAGGACATCTAGTTTTGTCCAAAGATGATCAGAGTTCTTGCATGAATCAACCCAAATACCCACAAATGGCTCTTGGCTCTTCACAGAGCCCAGTTCTGGCAATCAAGATGCCCGCCTGAGTTTCAGGCCCAAAGACACCTGCTTCCTGTCTATGGAGGTGCTGGTGTGTTCAACAAGGAGCACCTTCCAACATCTGCTCAGATTCCTACTTAAGGACAGACCCTCTCCTCCTTCCCCTGACGAGACTCAGTCATCTCCTCCCAGTCCTGAGCTTGGTAACCGGCAGGGGAGGCACTCACAGATGTTTAAGTGAATGAACAACAAAAGGAGCACAGGTCACCAGGTCCCCCTCCACACTCTGCAACTGTCGATTCAGCAGCAGATGAATCTATCACTTAGCGAACACCCAAGTGCCTCATTACCTTTTCTAGATGTAGATTTATCCATCGAGTAAAGGTCCTCTTCTGCACATTTTCCCTCTCAACTGAAAACAAAGAAATGCCATTAGATGAGAGAAAAACAAATACGTGCAAAATCACACCTTCCGCTGCCTGAGGGGAGATTCTAGGTGGAGGGCAGACAGAGCCCCAGGATGACCCATGTAAAAACAGAGTCCTTTCTGGAAGGGGTTGGCAAGGCCTTAGCTGGCACCAGAACCCATGCTCCCCAGCCCAACCCCCGAGCATTTATGTAAACCCACAGATTCAGACACACAGAACAGAACATTCTCTACAACCCAATTCAAGCATTTAGACATCTGACAGTCCACGTTAAGAAGCACTGCTGAAAAAAATACAAATCAACCCCACAAGGCTGTAATGGCACTGCATAGCCACCTAGTGGCAGTGGCGGGTGTGAGGAGATGGGAGAGGACAGTCATGGTGGGGTGGAGTGGAGTCCATGATTAGGAATTGGGATGGGGCTCCGGAAAGTGCCGCAGTGTGGTGAAAGGAACTGATAGACCAAGATCAGGCCCTGAGCCCTGCCATCTCCCAGCTTTGTGTGCCCGGGCTGGTCCTCTCCCCGCCCGCCCCGCCATGTCTCATCTGCACATGAGGATGAAGAACTCACTCCCCAGGCTGCTCCAAGGACACTCAGGCCCCTGCAGAGCCAGCTCCACACAGTCCCTGGCACAGGGGCTGCCAGTGATTTTTCTTCGTAGCTATTATTTCTAGAGCTAAGGCAGACTTTGTGCCCTTCAGGAAAAGAGAGTCCTGCAGGCACCTGCTGCTGAGCCAACTTGAGCCAGAAGGACCTAAACCAGGAATGGACCCCTTCTACCCGGGGAGAGCATTACCCAAAGAGGCTTCTTAGCAAAGATCTCTCACTGCCAAGGGCAACTGTCATCTGCCAAGCACTTACTGTGTCCTGGACACTTTGTTTCCATTCATGCTTTTTTTTTTTTTAGATGGAGTCTTGCTCTTTCACCCAGGCTGGAGTGCAGTGGTGTGATCTCGGCTCACTGCAACCTCTGCCTCCCGGTGTCAAGCGATTCTCCTGCCTCAGCCTCCTGAGTAGCTGAGATTACAGGCATGTGCCATCACACCCAGCTAATTTTTGTATTTTTAGTAGAGATGGGGTTTCACCATCTTGGCCAAGCTGGTCTTGAACTCCTGACCTTGTGATCCACCTTCTTCAGCCTTCTCAAGCACTAGGATTACAGGCATGAGCCACCGCACCCAGCCTCATCTTTAAACCTTACAACAGGGGTCCCCGACCCCGGGGCTATGAAGCAGTACTGGTCTGCGCCTGTTAGGAACTGGGCTGCACAGCAGGTGGTAAGCAGTGGGGGGAGCAACCACCTGAGCTCCGCCTCCCTGTCACATCAGCGGCGGCATTAGATTAGATTCTCGCAGGAGCATGACAACATTCCCCTCACCACCCTGTCTATGGAAATATTTTCTCCACAAAACTAGTCCCTGGTGCCAAAAGGGCTGGAGACCACTGCCTTACAACTCCCCTTGCAAAGTAGAAATGATTATTTTACAGCTGAACAGAATGGGGCTCAGACAAGTTCCAGTGACTTGCTCAGCTGAAGACAGGCAGAGCTGGGAATCCCCAGCGAGGTCTGTCCGCCCCACACTGGCCAGAACCCTGGAAGTGGAAGGCTTGAGTTTGAATTCCAGTCATTCCAATCGTGCCAAAGGTGTCTGCAATAGTCACAACAGTGTTTTTTTTTTTTTAAAGTACCGAAAGCTTGCTTTGTGGTAGGCACGGAACCAGGTAATTTACATGCATTAACTAATTTAATCCTACCATCCTCTGAGGCAGGTGCTATTACAACCTTCAGATGGGACAGTGGTGCTCAGGGAGATGGTGTAACTTGTCCAAGGTCACACAATTAATAGTAACGTTATCATTTCTGTCTTACAGATGAAGAAACGGAGGGCCAAATAGTTAATAAACAGCCCGAATCTGGTGGAACTCCGGATTCTGTGCTTTTTCCGCTCTCTCCTAAGTTCTGTGGCCTTAGCTGTCCTGGGGCCCTCGAGGACCCAGAGGATGTTTCGGAGGTGGGTCCCAGCGCTAGAGTCTGGGTGAGGACGTCTGGTGGCCTGAGGCTGCAGCCTCCTTGGTGCCAGCTGCCATGCCTCCAGGGAACTTCCTTCAATATCTGAGCCAGACGACTCCTAAACTACTCAGTTCTGGATTTCAACATATTGAAAGACCATATAATATATGCCTAAAACCATTTCACATTTCTTTAGCAATAAGAAAATGAGAGCCAATTTATCTCCTGTAGGAGAGCAAAGGCTATGGTTTTCTATGACAACGGAACTTTCTTCTTCTTGGCCTCATTATTTGGTAGAACGTGTCACCCATAAAACACATTTCAATATTATGCCTTTCAATCTTTTTAATTGAAGAACCAGCAGACAGTAATTACGCACATAACTGCTTTTCTCTCATTTTCCTCCTTTTCTGTAAGGAAGGGTCGCTGGCTAGTAGGCATAGGAATTAAAGAGCGAATTACAGTAAACTGTGTTTCATGGGTGAGAAGGAAGGGAGAGGGAAAAGAATTGAACAGAAATGAGGCTGGGAGGGACATATGCGAGACCAGTGAGTACCAGAGTCTTGGAAGCTCCCAGAAGCTGGGAGAGTGTCTGTCCCAAGCTCTATTGGAGATCCTTCCCCTTTGAAATATGGATCCATCTTATTCTCTCTGATGGCTACAGCATTTTCCACAGTCTGGGTGTCCCCCGTGTTGAAGAACATCAAGGCTACTGCCTATTTTTCACCGTTTTGAGCAATGCAGATACAAGCACTGTATGATATCCTGGTGCACGGTTCTTTGTGCACAAACATATGAACGTATTTCTTACCCGTGACAACTAAAAGTGGAACTGCTAGGTCTCAGTGGTAGGCACATTTAAAATTTTAATAGCTACTTCCAAATTGCCCTCCCACGAGGCTGTCCCGGTTTATACTTTTACCCCCACCTGTCTTGAAACAAGTTTATGGGGACCGTAAAGTATTTACGCACACATTCAAACACTCCGGCTGGTTTCTCCACATGGCTTCAGTGAGAGCAAAGTATATCCCTTGAAACAGAAGTGCATTTAGTAAAAGCCTCAGAGAACCTGGGTTAGGCTGCTAGTTTAACTGCAATCCAGGATGTAAATGAGGAGGTGGGTATCTGAGAGTCTACACAAAACTCATCTACCATCCATCCATTCATCTACCCATCTATTTATCCAACTATCCATCCACCTACCCATCCCTCCATCCATCCCTCCATCCATCTATCCACCACCCATTTATCCACCCATTCATCCATCTGTCCATCCATCCATCAAGCCAGCCATTCATCCAACTACCCATCCTCCCACCTGATATTTATTCAGTAATCACCATATTCTGGAAATTATGACAGGCTCTCTGGACGAAACCAGAGATGAAGAATTAAGCATTCATGGAATCTGCACTCCAACAATTCACAGTCACGTAAGTAAAAGAGAGAAAACATGGATGTCACAAGGTGCACATGCAAGGAGACATCGATCAGAACGCCGAAGGCTGACAGGAACTGGAAAAGATGACTTCAGACCCCGTGAGGCACTCCTGCAGGGCCCCAAGAGGATCTGCTGGCAGAACTGGAAAAAGGCAGGGGGTGGCCAAAGGCAAAGACTCTGTTCTAACCCTGTCCTGATTCAGAGCCAACCCCTCTGGGTGGCTTCACTTCCATTCCAGCCAAGGCCAGCAGGCCGACCTGAGCACAGATCAGCTTCAACAGCAAAGCTGACCCGCGGAGGGGGATGGGGCTGATAGAAGGACCCCAGGGGACCCCAAGACAACCACAAATAGCAGACAAGTCCCAAACTGAAGCAGAGTGTGGACACCACGTTACCCGGACCTGAAACTGGGACGCGTCGCTCAATACACGGGAGAGGCTGTGAGAACTCAAGCCCGCCCCAGAACATCCACTCGGGCGCCACACCCCTGGCTGGGCGACCTTGGGCACATCTGAATTTTAAAACACCTCTGCCTTGGTCTCCCCTCCACAGAATGAGGTTGGCCATGCCTCCCTCACAGGAACGCTATGGAGATTAAATGATATCACCCCAGAAAGCACCCCCACAGCTGCTCCCGCCAGCAAGGCCAGTTTCCTCGGCCCCCAGGGTCCCCCAGCGTTGCTCTGGTCACTGGCATTTTGACTGGTGTCTCGACATGCAGGTCTGCGGCTCTTTCATGGCCATCTCGCTTTGAGATGCCCACCCCCATCCTGCAGGCCCTCTCCACTTCTGGCCTGCCAAGACTCCATAAACTTTATATAGTTTCCATAAAGCCAACGGCCCCTTTTTTCCTATCACGTTGTAAAGGTGTAGGAAACCATTTCTCTGGAAGGGCCTGGCCTTCGCACAGAGCGTCTGTGGGGCCCGGTGTGGGTTTACTGGGCAAGAATAGAGCCATAAAAGTGCTGTAAAATCGCCATCCCTGGCTCTGCCTGGCTGGCCAGGGTGCCCGAGTGCCAGGCCGGGTGGAGGAGAGGGGCTGGCCAGGCCTGGACTCCAGGGGCCCAGACAGAAGGGAGGAAGGCCGGGCCTGGCTCAGCCGCACCAGCCCAAATTCCTAGCTGTGTGCTTTGCTAAGGATAGATCATTTGAAAATGGGAGGTGGGACATCCCTCTCCTCTCCAGGCTGTCCATGGCTGGCTCAGGAGTTTGCAGCCACAGAGAAAGGGAGGCTAGCACCAGGAGCGAAAATGTTCATTTACAGTTGTAGCTTTTTGTCTCTATATCCACATTCTCCCCAGATCGACTTTCTACGTGTTGATAATATTTCTGCTCTTTGCTGCCCAGGAGAAAAGCTTGCTGGCTTTGTCTGCTTATAAAAAATTATATGCTGATTATATAAAACTAAAACACAGAAAAGCGTAGAGAAAAATGTCTAAAATTGCTTGACATTTCATTATGCCCACACACACACACACACACACACACACACACACAGAGCAAGCACATGTACTCAGGGATACAATTTAAA